CAAATGCTATGGGAAAACAAGAGCCATGATGAGTGCTGGGTTTATAAGAAAAACCTTCATATTTGGGGGAAAGGGTGTTTGAGCAAAGATAAAGCCTTTACTAGGGGTTAGGTTCTAAAGTCACTAAGTAAATTAAATCCATATAATAAGAAACCAGTGGCACCACTTACTAGCTTACAACCTTTGATACGCTGCTTAACTCCTGTCTCAATTTCCCCACTTATGAAGCAGTAAAAATAGTATCTGTGACTAGGGAGACTGCAAAGGTTATGAACATAAAGAACAACCATTAAAAAAAACTGTAACTGGCCCAAAAGACCCACTTAACCCATCATTCACATTCTTGCAGAAGAGAATTTAAATATTAGTTAGGGTCTAAACAGTTTTGTGCACGAGAATGTCTCAAAGTTAAATGACAATTTTTAATATGATCACAGTGATATAAACTAAAAAAAGAAAGAAAAGAAATATTTTTTCCTTTGAGATGGAAGACATTTTCCCCAACTGTTACTTTTTCAACAAGAGAAAAAAAAAAAGACAAAACAAAAACACGACAGGGCACACACACAAAAAAATTTAAGTGACCTATTTCAAGCAACTAATTATGTGTCATTTGTTTAACCATCCCCCGGGACCATCTGCAATCTACTCTGATAAGAAATGTGTAGAAAACAGACCTAACTTTTTGTTGTTGTTCAGTTATGAGTAGGATCCTCGCTGCCTGAGCGCAGACAAGTGTCCCTCAGGGAAATGCTCTGCATGCCATTAGCACTATTCTTAATGAGGAAAAGCACACAGCGCCTTTAGTTCAGTGCCAGAATTGTTTTATCTTCAAGTCAAAAGAACAACTGTTTGGAGTAACACCAAAACAAGCACTTAACAATCACAAGCCGCAAGCTATTCATAAGCTTTGCATTGTTAATGCTACTCTGATTATAAATAACCTCACTTTATCAAATAAAATATCTGTCAGCAAATTTTTCAGTCCCAGACACCTATCTGACTGCTTTATTCCTTAACTTTTAAGAAAAAACATCTTTATTGCTTCAATTTCGAGAACCTCATTTTATTTTAAAGGCTTCCTACCGAAAAGTGAGACACAGAAGATCCTAAAATTTGTACTCCGTGAGTTGGTAATCTTCAAAGAAAATTTTCAAATCCTAAACAAAGGTCTTAACCAGACCGTGGTGCTTATAATGACCTTCAATGACAGAGTGAAGGGGGCACCTGAAGACAGACTGCTCCCACTTCACTAACGCCTGATCTAAACCTTCTCCTGATTTAAGAAATACTCTGCTGACAATGACATGTCCCTTTTGCCCTTCTTCCTCCATTTCTCCATTTTGTTCTAAAAGCCAAGCACAACTTTCTGGGTTTCTTTTTGTGTTACTATCTCTATCGTCCTTGCCCTTATGTGATGCCTTTGCTTACACTTCACTCATTGGTGAATGAAGGACACACAAAATAGATGCTGGGCCAAAGACAGCAAATCTACACTATCCCCTCAGATGTCTGGGGAACTTTCAGTGGTCAGGACTAGTGGGCTTAACAATGAACTAATACGGAATGGAGAAGTTTAATCTAAACATGACGTCATATGATGACTCACTAACACTGCGAGGGAAATATACAAGTTTTACAACAGTACAAAAGTTTTAAGCACAGAGTGAAGTCACAAGTGAAGACAACTGTGGTCAGCTTTTATTTAACACGCATTACACTGCCATGACTTTTTACAGGATAAGCTTAATCTGTGAGGTGATGGGAAAAAACGATCGAGGTTATGGAAGCTTTTCAAACTTACCTTTAGTTACCCAAGTTAGTAAGGATTCTTGAAGCTACAGGACAGGATTTCTACTAACTCTGATGCAGTAAGAGATTCAGACCGTGCCGCTTCTTCAGATGAAGAACTTTCTAGGGTGGGGGGCAGGGTGAGTGTGGGACAGCTCAGTGTAGAGTGCATGCTTAGTATGCATGAGGTCCTGGGTTCAATCCCCAGTACCTCCATTAAAAAAATTTTTTTTAATAAAAAATAAATAAATAAAAATTTTTAAAAAGAACTTTCTAGAAACTTGCTCCAACTTGCTGCCCCACCACCAACTCCACCACCCAGCAGCCCCCAAGACTGTAAGTGTGTATCTATCCACACACAGCAGGACCACTGTGACTGAACTATTTGCCCTCCACGGCTCTTGCTCTAGTACAGTTAAAGACAGGGGAGGGCGAGGGTACAGCTCAGAGGCAGAGATGCGTGCTTCGCATGCTCGGGTCCTGGGTTCGATCCCCAGTACCTCCATTAAAAAAATAAATACATAAACCTAGTTACCTCCCCCATTCAAAAAAAGAAATAAAAGAAAAAAAATAGTAAAAGACAGGGGAAGGAACAATAGTGATAATTTCCCTGGGACACCCTTTGGCAGCGTAATACTCACATATAAACTGATAAATACCACTGCTCCAAATCTGTATCCCTGACAAGGGTCTACAACACACTCCTGGATGCCAACTTCCCTGAGGACTGACCGAGGTGAATGTGTGAGATGTTCCAGGTTACCTCCCCACTCCGCCTCCACTTCCACTGGAACACGCACATGAAAACTTTCAATCAAAAAGAACATGGCAAAAGTTGCCCCCAACATCATCTGCCCTGTCAACCAACTAGAAAAGGACAGAGTACCCAAGAGAGGCTTCACCGAATGGGTTTAGACAGAGCAGCATCAATGTGAAAGGCATGGCTGTTTTCACCAAACATGCACATCCTTTCACCACAGGAATACCATGCAGGGAATTATGACTGATACAAAGAACTGCTCTGGAAAAAGAAGCTAAGAGCTCATCAGTTAACACTGATTCTTTTTGTTAAAAAAATGAGTAATAATTTACATAAAGCACGTCTTAACTATGTAACTCAATGAATTTGTACGTATGGGTTACACCTATGTAACTCCACCCAGATCGAAATACAGAACATTTCTATGGTTCCTGAAGGTTCCCTCGTGCCTCTAGTTTATAACCCTGCCAGCAATCTCCACCCTCAGGTAACCACTAGTCTGCCTTTTATCTCCCTAGATTAACTGTGCCTCTTTTGAACGTTAGAATTACAGTTAGATACTCTTTCGTGTCTGCAAATTTTGTCCAACAGAATGTGAAATTTGTATTTGCTGCTGCATAAATTTCTCACTTTTTACTGCTATGTAGTACTACACTGCACAACCACACCAGTGTATTCATTTTCCTGTGGTTGGGCAGCTGGGCCATCTTTTGCTTTTAGGGTATTACAACTACAGCTGTTACGAGCTTTCCTGCACATGTCTCCTGGTGATGTAAGCCTCACTCCTCTTGGCTACGTACCCAGAAGTGATCACACGGCAGTCACATGTTTTTAGCTACAAAGTGCCAAAGTCTTTATATGGTGGTGTCGGTATTTATAATTCAGTCACGCTGGTGAGTGAAAGGCATTCCCTCATGGTTTTACTTTACATTTCTCTAATAAGTAATGATGCTGAGCACTTTTTCATATCTCAGTAGTCATCTGAATATTCATATTTTTGAGGCCCCTATTTAAGTTTTTTTGGTCCATTTTTTAAAATCGTCTTCCTGTTGATTTGTGGGACTTCTTCACATATTCTGTATGTGAGTCCTCTATTTAATGTATGTATTTAAATGTCTTCTCAGACTTCAACTTGCTTTTTTGCTTCCTTAAAGATGTCTTTTGATAAACAGAATTTCTTAATTTTAATGGAATTCAATTGATCTGTTTCTCCTTTAGTAGTTAATGCTTTTTTTGTCATTTAAAAAAAAAATCTTTCCTCCCACAAGATCATGAAGATACTCTCCTGTGTCTGCCTCCAGACACTTGTTTTAGCTTTGACTTCACTCTTCTTGCCACCAGGATCTCTCATCTTCTCTCCCAGCCCTGCCAAATCTGTCATGTGCAAGGGTGTGCCACCTGGCCACACAAAGTGAATTCATAAATCTTCTTTTATTATGTGTGCTATTACTTTAAAAATCAAATAAATCTCCAATAGTAAATAAAAAATCATGATGATGGGAATGTATCTCCTTTGGGAATATACTGCAGTGACTCCTCATAAAACTGTTTTGAGTTATCACTTTAGTTTGTAATCATACACGTCCAGCTTTAACTGAGGTATGCAGGCACTTCCTCTGATATGAAGACATTTCAACACAGTACACATTGACATTTCTGAAGAACAAGTGCTGAAATTATAAACATTTAGACTAAAATTGGACATACACTGAGCAGATACCAAATAAACTCATTTGCCACTCACTGGAACTGACCTGAGCTCAGTGGAGTCAGCTATTTGACAGAGGAACACAGAACTTTCATGTACTTCTATAAATATGAATCAACCTGTGACTTTGTCTTTTCTGCAAATTTCAGGGTACATCTGAATTATACAGTATCTCTCCTATCAGTGAATTCTCATTAAGAAAAGGATGAAGAGGATCGGATCAAGCACTTTAAATATTCATGCAACTAATTTGCAAATGATGATCATCACCAAGATCCAGTACTTCCTGAAACTTTCAAAATGAATATATAAAACCCAGTATGATCCTAAAATCCCAGTATGGAGCAATACTACGAGCTGCTTTGGTCCCCCCTGGCTGGGTGATACGTTTTCTTCTGTGAACCTACTGTAACTAAAACGTGGAACCACAAGGGAGATATACCCGTACTGGGAAATGAGGTGAGCCCTGTCTGAATACATCCTGCACACGCAAGAATAAGTTCGTCTGTTAACTCTTTCCTCAATTACTTCATTAAAATCTATCAATGACTACTACCACACAGAAAAATAAAGCCAATTTAACAATTTTTGATTACCTTTACATTACTATTCAAAGTCCTAATTTTTTGAACCAGTAATAGTCCATCAAGCGCCAATTAAAATTCATGCAACTCACACATAAATCATGTAACACACTATGTTTTTAAAAAATATTTATCACTGAAGTGAACCGAGACTCACCTGTGGTAATGGCTCTGTGGAACTGATGCATGTCTTCTCCTGAGAGCTCTTGGGCTACCTGTAATATCTTTTGTCTGACACCATCCAATTTAATTTCTGATTCAGTCAATATTTCTTCCATATCAGGAGCACTATAATCAAGATATTGGGAACTTTTAAAACATCAGTCAGATGTTTCAATAGTGAAAAACTGAAATACTCTACATATCAATCAAACAGAGCTAAGTAAGTAAATATTCGATGTATTTGGCTACTAACTCAAAACTATAATTATATTCTATTAAAAGTATGTAAAAACTTGAAAAATGATATAAATAATGAAAATGACTACATGTATGTATATGTATGACCAGGACATTGTACTGTGCACCAGAAACTGACACAATGTAACTGGCTACACTTCAATTAAAAAAAAAGTGTTACAGCTAGTATCAAGTGAAAAGAGAAGAATAAAAAGCTGTGCAGATAATATGACCATAACTACAAGAAAAATTACGTTCATAAAAATATGACATCTGGAGGTGCCTACTTTTAGTCAGGATGGAGTTACATGAACAGGATTTATCCTCCCACCATTAACAACTAAGAAAAATATATAAATACACAGACACACAAAACAGTGGTTTCCAGACACTGGACAACAGGCAGCAGGGGACAGTGATATCTGATTAAGGGTGAAAAAAAGGACATGTGCCCTAAGACTGTCCCATCTGATTGCCTGGAGGGTTTCCAAGTGACAGTGTGCAGATGAGAAACCTAGGTGAAGCCTGAAGGTCTCCCTCAGCAGACAAGGAGTTGGGAGTTCAGGGTGATCAAGGCGACAAAAACTTGCAAGAAAGAGTAACAAATGGAGAAAACTACACAGATAGAGTCCCGGAGATCTACACAGGGGACCCACTCGAGTCTGCAGCTGAATTCTGATCAGTGCAGACTTAGAGGAAACTATCCACAGCTGAAAAAAGCAGCACCCTAAGTGAGCAGGCGTTGCAAGCTCCCAGCTCACCCAAGGCCAGAAACAGCTGAGGCATCACCAGCAGACAGACACCACAACAAATATTAAAGGATGTTCTTCGGGCAAAAGGAAAATGATACCAGATGAAAATCTGAATCTATATATAAAGGAATAAAGGACACCAGAAATGGTAAATATGTGGATAAGTATAATTTTTTAATTTTTAAAAAATCATACTGTTTAAGTAAAAATAATAATGTATTTTGAAGGAGCACAAAAGCTAAGCTTGTAGAGGTGAAACGGAAAAGGAAGTATACCATTATAGTGTTCCTATACCATATTTGAAGTGACATGCAGGCTGTTCTTATTTCGCACAGTATCACGTTAACTGACATCTGTGCATATCAACATTGTGATCTCAATTTGCAAAGTAACTGTTACCACAGACCCCTGCAAAGGAAAGACATGACTCTAATACATACAAGTTTCAATTAATACAATATTGTGCAAATTAAGGATAGTAGACTGTGACAAGTTATATGTTAGAAACCATAAAACAATCACTATAAAAACAAAATAAAAACCTATAGCTAATAAGCTAACAAATAAGATAAGGTGGAATTACAAAAAATACTCAATCCAAAATAAGGCAAAAAAGTGAAAAGTGAATCACAGATTTAAATCCAACCATATTCAATAATCACATTAACTGTAAATGGTCTAAAAACCTCCATAAAATGCAGATTGGATAAAATGGATAAATGGATTAAAAACAAGATAAGAAATCCTCTTTAAACAGACACAAATAGATTGAAAATAAAAAGATGAAAAAAGGTATACTCTGTCAACACTAATCAAAAGAAAACTAGAGTAGCTATATTAACTTCAAAACAAAGACTATTTCCAGGGATACTATCAAAACAATAGTGGGTCAAGTCATCAAGGGAACAGAACAATCCTAAATGTTAATGCAGCAAAGAGCTTAACTACATCAAGCAAAAACTGTTAGAATTGCAAAAAGAGACAAATCGACAATTATAGTGAAGAGATTTCAACCCCCCTCTCAATAATTGATAGAACAAGTATACAGAAAATCATGAATGACACAGATGACCTGAACAGCCCTATCAGCCAACTTGACTTAACTGACATTTACAGGACACTCCATCCAACAACAGCAGAATACACACTGTTTTCAAGTGCACAGTATCCAGACAGACCATATTCTGGGCCAAACCAACTTTCAGTAAATTTAAAAGAATTCAAATCATAGAAAATATAGTATCTTTTCTGACAACAATAAAATAAAAAACTTAAATATGCTTGGAAAATTCCTAAATATTTGGAAACGTAACATACCTCTAAACAACCAATGAGTCAAAGATGAACTCAGAAAGAAAATTAGAGTATTCTGAACTAAATAAAAATTTTTAACAATATTTAGAGTACTAAATGCCTGTTAGAAAAGAAGTGATCTGTTTCATTTTTGATCTCAGATTCCATCTTAAGAAACTCTTTAGAAGAGGAGCAAGTGAATTCAAAGTAAGCAGAAAAAAGAAAATAACAGAAATCAATGTGCGAGAAAACCAAAACATACAGAATATCAATGAAATCAACAGGGGGCCTTTAAGATCAACAGAATTGATAAACCTCTAGCCAGACAGATCAGGAAAGAGAAAGGATACAAATTACCAAGATCAGGAATGAGACAGAGGACATGACAACAGATTCTACAGAAATAAAAGGATAATCCAAGAGTATCAGGAGATGAAATGAAAAAAATTCCCTGAAACAGCCAACTATCAAAGCTCACCGGTAAAGAGCTACCTACCTACACCCATTAAAGAAAATAAAAGTATAGTTAAAGTAGGAAACCTGCTCATTAACAGTATCTTTATGTCCTCTGGCTGATTTCCTTCATAAAACAGTTTTACTCTCTCTAGTTTGTAAGTTTTCTGAAGTTTACTATTTTCTCAGTTTACTAATCAAAAAATGTAAATATGGACACAACTATGACTTTTTAAAAATTGCATAAAACATGAAATCTGCTCACTGATAGTGCTTATCTCAGCGCATTGTCACTGACTGACTTCGTTCACTCAGTGTCTACTTCTCTGTCATTTTTTACTTTTCTAAAGATTACTATTTCCTATGTTTACTAATAAACATTTACTTTTTTTGGAGAACAGATATTTAGAAGATGACTTTACATAGTAACGTGGCTCTTTCTAAAATACCAAGTTCTCCTGTTACAGTTCTATTACTTATTTAAACTGCTGAATACTGACAGCAATTGTTTCAGAATTGCAATTTTCACTGAAAAAAAGTGTTCATGATTAATTATGATCAGTGATGCTTCTTTCCATAACATAAGCTCAGGTGTGTATAAGCTATCTGAAAACTTAAGAAAATAAGCAAACACCAATTTTAGACTCCAGTATGAAAAAGAAAAGGTTAACAGTGCCACCTTCCAATAAATCTACATATGGCAAATTTGCTTCCACTTGACGGAATAAAAATTAAAGCATTTAAGAGTTACCCTAAAAGCTGTAAGTTAGTGAATAGAATACTTCAATAATACTTTAATAATGAAAAGCTCATAAATTATATTTGGTCTTTCTTAAATACTTTGTAAGATACATTCGTGGAAAGCCAATCATTGCTATTCTTGAAGCATTTGGAATGTGTAATGTAACAAGAATCTCTCCTTGGGAGTTGCAGAGTGAGTGATTTCCACCCCCATGCAGAAGACAGAAGCAAAGGAAACTAGTCAAATGAAATATGAAGCAAATAAAGACCACAGATGGAGATTCATAAAATATTCCTGAATCTCTATAATTCACTTCTCTCCTCTTAAAATTTGACTTGTTTAAGCTGGCTTCTGTTGCTTGCAACCAAGAAATCTATTAAATACACAGCGCCTACCTAGAAAAACTGTGAAGTCCTAGAGTAAGAAATTTCAAAGAAAAATGAATGTTACAGAGCTGAAGGTAGAAGAACTTTCATAGAATTAAGTAGTCAACATTATCATTCACTACGAAAATGAAAGTAAGAAAACAGCAGAAGAGTGTGTACTAGATTTAGCAATATGAAGATAACAAAGGCAATTTCAATTTCAATTCTGTGAGGCAGAAAGCCAAACTGCAATGAGCTGAAAAATGAACAGGAAGATAAGTGAAGCAGAGTTTAACATTTATCTGATATTAAAATTTTTGCACCTATCATCCAGGCTAAGCTTTAATGTATAGGCCCTAAGAAGCCATTAAGATTTTAATATTTTCACAAACAACAGCTCTACGTTGGTGAATGATCTTCACAGAACACAAATCTCTAGCTGCTCTAAAAATAAGAATTTTTCCCTCCTATTTCTATTAAAATGTTTACACTTACAATCTAATATCCTCTGATTCCAGTGTTCACAGAGCAAGTCAGCAAGTTACGGTCCACTGACTTACAATACATATAAAATATGCCCCAAATCATATCCAACTGAACAAATTTTAAAGATATTTACTGACCTTGTAATCCTATGGAGGAGAAAAATTGTCCTCTTACTTTCAACAGTTATATCCCGACTAAGTTTCACAAGTCTCTCATATTTGTCATGTCTTGCATCAAGTTCCTGTTGAAATGCTAAGAACACATCACCATGACCATAAGCATGCTTATTCTATACCTGAAGGCTGTCAAACCATATTGTCACTATTCATGAGAAGGCAACTATTACTTTATAAAAATGAAGGGGACAAAGCCATCTTATTTATTTTTAAAGTACTTGGAAATCAAACATTTTGCTTTGAATAGCCAAGAATAACCAAGATATTCTTTAAGCACAGGTATGCCATAACTGGATTTCACCACTCAGAGCCTCACAATGAGACGTATACTATTGTAAAAAAAATTTGTTGTATTAAACATGACATTGTCATCACAAAATTATCACACATAACTACCTACAAAATTTTCTTTCAATTACCTCAGTAAATTACATGAAATTATTTTTAATTACCTTGTCATATACAATATAAATATCTACAAAAAAGAAATTGAAGTTTTTAAATTAAAAGTTTGTAACCTTTAATAGCATCGAATTTCTGAATTTTAAGAAATAGTTGTTGAAATACCCATAAACCACTTAACTGTCTTAATAACCACTTTATTTGAGAAGCATTGTCACTCCAAAGACCTAGCAAGTTGCCTGTCCCATAAGGAGCAATCCATAGATGTATTCTGCATGAAAAAAGACCCAGAACGTGAATAAACTATTAATCACATTAGTAGCTGGCAAAGACCTAAACACATCTAGTCTTTTACTACTGAGATAATAATTAGGCTAGGATTTTGCCTGATATTTCAAGATAATCAAATGTATCCACTACTTACTATAAACACATTAATGACCACTGTGAACTAGATACTATGAATACAAAGTTAAATAAGGCAGTTTTTATCCTTAAGCTCAGTCCAATGAGGTAGAGATGTAAACAAATAATTAAATGTGTTCATGCTGTAATAAACACATACAAAAGGTTCAGTAAAACAGGAAATACATTTTTCTTGTTCATGACCTACACATGCCAGAACTCGGATGCTCAATAAATATTTCATGACTGAATGGGTGAATGTTCAACAAATGCAATGTTTGTCATCAAGTCTGCTTGAGCGGAAAATGAGAAAGGCTTCGAAGGGAAGACGCTACTTGCGCTGGGACTTGAAGAAAACCACAGCACAACAGATGGGCAAGGGGGCACCATGTCAGAAGCCATCTCAAGCTTAAAGAGAACTATCTGCACAAAGGCAGGCAGAAACATGTAACAACAAAATATGCTTGGAAACAAGCAGCTCGGTACAGGGTGTGAGTAAAAGGTGGGCAAATACCTGACCTGATGTAGTTTTTCCACTGAGGATTACAGCTTTTTCAGTATGCTCTCTACTCAATTACAACTAGTTGTCTCACTCCCTGAAGATCACTGTAGGTGCTGTGGTGGTTTTAAAATACGTCCACAAGTTAATTTGACTCCACCCTTCAAAAAGTGGAACCTAATTCCCTTCCACTTAAATACGAGGCAGTGTTTTTAAACTGTCTCATTTCTAACAAATAGAATGCAGCAAAAGTGACAGCGTATGATGTCCAAGATTAAGATAGGAGAACTGTGGTCTCCTCCTTTCTCTCAGTCTAGAGATGCCAAAACGAGGACATTCAAGCAGTACTACGGAGGAGTCCACATGCAGCGGAACCCAGAGCTGGTCATTGGCAGAGGCATAACTTGCCAACAGCTGTGGATCCTCCAGCCCAATTCCGGCCTTCAGGTGACTGCCTCTCTTAGATTCCTGAACCACAAAAACTATAAAGAATAGGATGCTGGACACAAGACGAGAGTTAGGTGAATTCTGTTTTATATTTTGTTTTGAAAAGAGAAACAACGTGACCAAGTTAATATATTGAGAAAAGGTAACAGTGAATACATATACATGTTTGATTTACTAACAGATGAGTTCCCACACTGTGCAAAGTGCTACAAAACAAAAACGCAGTCCCCATCTTCCAAAGCCTAGCTGAGGGGTGGAGTGGTATAGCTCAGTGTAGAGCACATGCTTAGCATGCACGAGGTCCTAGATTCAATCCCCAGTAACTTCATTTAAAAAAAAAAAACCCTCAAAAAAGTCTAGCTGAGGAAACAAAACCAATACACGGTAAAAATTAAATATATGTACACATATAGCTAATACATACACACTTAATATATACACCTGATATAAATAAGCATATATACCTGCTATATATATATACACACACACACACCTGGCATATATGTATGTATCACGTATGCAGTAATTTTTAGTTATATGGCATGTTTGATGTTAATTAACTATGTTTACCAGTGAAAGTGTAATGGGAAAAAAAGTCAAGACTTTTGTAACCTCAACTTTTATGGTAGACCTAGATCCACCGCAAACCCTCCAGGAAAATTCTTGGAGGCTGTTTCCGTGGACACAACATGGATAAATGACCCTTGTCACAATCTCTATAGCTCTCTTCCGTTCACCAACTTACATGATGGAGAACTTACATTTGAAGGCCAACATCACGGGTGAAGATGAATGAACATCCTTCCCTTCTCTTCTCTGGTTATGTGGGAAATTGTCATGCTTCCTTTTCCTGAACCCTCCTGACCCTTACGTAGAGAAAGAGAAAACGGTTGGACAGGGCTCTTCCATCACCAAGAGTTGACAAAAACGTAACACAGGCAGTAGGGGAGAGTATAGCTCAAGTGGTACAGCATGCTTAGCCTGCACAACGTCCTGAGTTCAATCCCCACAACCTCCTCCAAAATTAAATAAACCTAATTACTTCCCCTCACCAAAAATAATAAGAAACACAGGCAAACCCCTCCTTCCCTTTAAAACCAGCTATCTACGGGCCCTCGCCAAGCAGAGGCTTTCTCAGCTGACATTATGACATTAGAGCCGCTCTACCCTCCCCTCTCCAAACCTTTGGCTCCACCAAGGGGACCCTTGATCTGGCCATCACCCCACCAAGATAAAAACGGCCCGAGGATGTAAGAAAACGAGGAGGTGTAAACAGTGCCAATGTGGCCAGGAAAGTCACCAGGACCGCAGCCCCCCGAGCATACAAGGGGAGAGGGTAGCCCTCAAGGGTGGGAAGTGGGAAATGCGACAAAAATTATTAACACCCAAGGCTGCAGAGGACGCCACCTTCTTTGCTGCTCATGTCGTCACGGCCTACGGCGAGGAGAGAGGAAAATGAGCGCCCGGGAACGACCGGAGCGCGTAAAGCGGCGGCGGAAGACCCCCAAGCGGCGCCCTTCGCAGCCGGCCGACGTCGACGCACTGGCCGGAAGTGCGAGCCGCAGCCACTCAAGTTTCTCCCTTCGCGCTCGCACACTTCCGGCCTGCGTCCCGGCCCCGCCGCCGCTGGTTCCGCCCCGCGCGTGGCCCGGGGGACCTCGCGCCCACGCGGCGTCGTCGCGCCTGCCTTCTGTCATGCCTGAACACAGAAGCGACTGTACACGCTTCTCTGCGTGAGCTGTTCATAAAAAACACGATACCTCCTCCTGAGGGTGAGCTAATGTGAAGGTGAGAAAGGACGGAAAATGTACGTGATTTTTTTTTTCCTCAAGGCACCTTCGGAACACCCCTGCGTGGACCCTGCCTCCCGCGCGGTGCATACTGGGGGTTGTAGTTCGCCGCTGGAGTCGGCCCTGCGAGGCTCGGGACTGGACGGGGGGAAGGGACCAGGCTCCCGTCGCTCGTGGGAAGGTCTTCTCGGGATCGAGGCCGAGTTGGGAATTACAGAGTTAAGAGTTTTTAAAGTAGGTGACGCCAGCAGCTAAAGTGATGGCAATACGCAAATCAAAAGCGGATGGCGTCGCTGGTATTTTCTCAGATGAAAGAAAACCCGCCCCTGTCTCCCCCGTCCCGGAGCCCGCCGTCTTACCCTTTCCGCTCCCTCCTTCCCGGTCGTCGCGCCGCGCGCCTTCTCTCCCGGCAGCGTGGGGCCAGGCTGCCTGCCTTCACAGGGGTCTCGCCCCCGAGTGGTTGTGTGACCTCGAGTACGTGATTCGCTTGTAGCTCAGTTTCTCGGTCTGTAAGATAGGAGAGTTGGACCCGCCTTGGAGGTTTATCTGACCACTACATGACTTACTACCAAGGCGCACAGCAAAGCCCTCCACATAGTAAATGCTCAATTAATTATTAGCCTTGATTTCATTCTCCCACCCTCGCTTTGAAAAAGAGAAACAGAAGTTAGTAATAATAATAGCGAGTGCGCACCGCTAAATTGTGAGCGTTTAGTTACGGGCAGGTACTGCCATCTCTTCCTAGACCTTGAGGCCACCGCAGCCCTGACTCCGTGTTAGCAGCCGGGTCCTTGTAAGCCTCCATAATGGTTTGTTGATGAACGACGGTCCCAGCCTGAAGATGGGCCCCTAAATGGCAATGCAGCATCTTCTGGATTAAAAACTCAGGCTGGGGCTTAGTTTATCGGGTGGCCAAGGCCCGGTAGGGAAAACACAAGTGCTGTATTTTATTACGTTTTTTCTGAATAACCTCCATATTGTAAGCGCCTCTTGTGCCCAAGATCTTAACTCCTTGTTGATTTAGGAACAAAGGAACAGTAAATGAAACCACTTGGCTAGTCATGGCAGTGATCTCAAGCCCGCAACAGGCCTGTGTCATAGGAAGGTTTTCTGCTCTAGGTAATCGAGGGTCTCTTCCAGCCCTAAAGCAAAAAGCTTGCCAAGTCCATCTATTGGCCCGTCACATGCCTTGTGGAGGCAATAGGTTCCGGAGGACCTGGGCTGAACTCTTGCTTTGTGAATGTTGGGCATGTAATGCTGAGTTTGTGTGAGTTCTCACCCTACAGATGTTTTCCACCAGGATCCCCCTCCTCTTTGATTAGAGATCACTTGAGCATCAAGAGGGAGGGGGAGAAAAAAGGCAACTTTCATATAATTGTAATCATTTTAATGTGACTCTTAGATCCAAGGAAGCCAGTAAGTTATGAACATTTTTAGGGTCAATGCTATTTTAACTATAGTCTGGGAATAGGGTATTTTTCCTCACTCTACCTGTATGGCAGCTCCCAAGACCTCAACTTCCAAAACCTGGATCAGTCATATTCCCTTTCTTTCTACAGCCACCACTCCTGTTCAGCTGTTCAACTGCAACAGTGTTACTGAACAGCTTTTCACTGCTTCCCCCTAAGTGTAAGGATTAGAACACTAAGTTTCATAACCTGTAGTGACTTCTCCAGGTGCTTCATGGAGATGAATCCTACAGATACTGTCCCAGCACCTATTTGCATATGCAGTTACCTCAGGTGTCCAAAGTGTAGCTCCTCCTTTGTGGAGAAATGCTCTTCAGCCTGCGTGGTGACCTGCGGAAGGCATCTCCACCCTGTCTGTCTCCCTGTTTTATTGCTTCAAGTGTATGCACATAGTTTTGGTATTTGGTGGAACGTACTTGCGTTTGTGTTTACAGGAAAACCACCGCCCTGAGTAAGGGAGAGGAAAGTAAAGATTTTCAGTAAGACATCACTTCCAAGATGCAGTTCTTTCCTCTTCCTCCTGTTGCATTTCCATTGCCCACATCTGACTCTGGAGCATGCACTAAACCTTTCAAATGCACCTTTTCTATTCACTTTATAAATCCTCACCTTTGTCACCTTTGTAGGAAAAAAAAAATCACATATCAAAATAGGTTTGCATTATTTAAAAACCCATACAATCAAGGAAGATAAGAAATCTAGGGCCTCGAGACAGTTTCTGCTTCAGCATTTACCTGATTATGTGTTTATTAACTAAACTGGGGTGGGAGGGGTGGGGTGGGGCCGGGGTGGGGGCCGCCTATCGTGAGGAATTGCCAGAACCTTGAGTGACCATTTCTAAAATGATAACCATAGTATTTAAAAGATACCTGTAGGGTCTGAAGTGGTATTGTGAAGTGTACACATACCATTTCATAGATTTCTTTTTCAAGCAATGCTAGTACGTAGGAGGAGAAAATTGATGCTCTAGTTCTTTACTGGAGAGGGAAGCTGGTGTTTGAGGCAGTAAAAAGGGACGGGCAAAACCACAATGAGATACCACCCACCAGGATGGCCATAATCAGGAATTA